GTGCAAGCTCTCATAAACATGCAATAAAGCTTGTTTAACATGCAATGCATTATATCTGTATCCTGAATGTCACTAAAGAAACTGCCAAAATAAGGACATCCTACTTGATAATAGCCACTTATTAGGACTAATTCTCAAAAGTTTTCATTGTTTTATCTGCCTGTTCAGTTATCCATGACAATCATGGCCCCTTCAATCATGAGGCACATAACAAAAATCCTCAATATGCAAAGAACTGGCCTTATCTGGGATTAAGACATTCATTTCTTCTGAGGTTTCCTTGCTTAACCCCATGATGAGCTTCCTTGAGTTTTTGTCAAAAGGCAAGAAATATTATACAATATACTCATGTACCATATATGTAAAGCTTACTTGTTGATCATGTAAAGGATTTTACTATTTATGTATATTAGCAAGAAAGCACATTTAATTCATGACTTATAAGGTCATTATGAATTAAAGAACTTCAATAAGAATTTCTTATGACCCTCATTTTTCTGTCCTGTTTTTGTCCCACTCCACTTTTTGTTCATCTGATCTTGTACACAGCATACATGTGCTGCAGTTCTTCTATAAAAATGGATGATTTAGAGCTCTCCAATGGACTTTTAGGTTTTGCCTTTAATAATTACCAATAAAAAAACATAAAAAAGAGTCCTAACACGTCTATCCTAGCAACATCACTTCGAGCAATTTGACAGTTTGAACTGGAATGTTTTTATGCAATTTACGCATACACCTGTATTATAAAACGGTTTACGTTATACAAGGTAAAGTTTTACATTATATCATAGGATTACTATAATGTGAATTATATGATGTTCAATCGATAAAAAATTTCCAACAAAATTTAATTACATTTTTAAGCTAACCTGTAATGCTATTTTTCAATTACAATAATGGGTGCAAAATTTATTGAGCATGTGAGGTGTTTATACATTACATAATGTACTATTTTATTTTATTATTACATTTTTGTCTTAGAAGAGATTATATTCTCTGAATTCTTGTTGTTTGTCAAATATTGTTTCTATTTATATGGTTACCTACAATCATCAATGACTCCTGTAACTGTTAAGTGCAAGCATATTTTAGGTGCTGTTATTGAATTATATCTTAAAATATGTGCACAGATGAGATCATGACTTTGAAAGTGCTATGAATGCTTTTAATCAGTTTTGACCTGGACTACTATTTTATAATCTCTTGTTACTTTAAAATTCCATCCTAATCAGTGTTCTAATGGTGTTCTGATTATAGAAATGCAGGTTTAGTTCTGCTTTTGTGAATGATTCTCACCACAGATATAAACTGCCTTCTATTCATAATTGTCAGGAAACACTTATAAAGTACTCTTTAATTTATAAAGTGCTTTAATTAAGCAGTGCCATGGAAAGTAAATAAAAGAGGAGGTTAAACACAAGAATATTCTTCAATAAATATTATATTAATAAAAATCTGTTTTTAATTGTTATTTAAAAACATCAAAGAAATACATACTGTAGATTACAGAGTTCCACAGAGCACAGTCTAGCTGTTTCTAGAATATGCTCTATGTGCTATATTATGATTACTTTATCTGTTTTACTAACCTTCATTGTACTAGCTATTTATGCATTTTCTACTTGATAATAAAACATCTTCAAAAACACAGTGAAAAACATACCAGTCACTCCAGAAAGTTTCAAGAGGTGAAAAACTACAGAGAAATGCATTTTAATATTGAGAACTGAAGACATCACAAATTACTGTAATTTTACTTATTCTGCTGTGAATCAAACAGCACACCTACACAGTATACACAAGTATACTGCATACTGTATGTACAAAATCTGACAAAATATACAGAAAGACAAAAAGAAGAAAAATATAATCTTGTAATGATTGGCAATTTTACATGTAAATACAAGAAATCCTGCACTCTACTGAGAGATGATTTTCAACTCACAACCATTCAGGTGACAAATCAAGTGGTGTGTGAGGTATTGGAAAGAGGAAATTGTATACAGAACTGTAATCGTTTATGTTTCTGATGTATTAAAGATAAACAGATTAGATGTTATACTTAAAATATTATGAATTTCAAAATTCGGTTAAATGTCTTAGGCATATATGAAGATATCAGGTGTCAACAAGATATATGATTTATATGTATCATATTTGCAAATATATTGATCCAAGTTCAGGATCAGATAAACAATTATTGCAGAACCCTTCCAGCAGGTGACACTATATCTGTTCTCTGAAACATGTACTGTTGAACTGGTCATGACTGCCATCTACTGCTAATTTGACAATGAGAAGAGGAATATTTTTTTTCTCTAGCAATTCACATGTATGCGTTTAATTTTCATGCTGTATGGTGTTTTTTTTCACAAGGCCTTCATAGTCTTGACTAACCTTTTACTGTTTTTCTCTTACATGATTGTTGTATATCGATCTTTCACTTTATTCTTTAAAAAAGCAATTGTTAGGATACAATAGAATTTCTGTAACAGAAAGTGCAATAATTTTTCTTTACTTTCTTTCTGTAAGAAGCAGAATTGTGTATTTTTCCTACACCTCTCATTAATAAAAAATATTTTTAAAAAACACTACCTCCATCATTTCTTTTTGGATCTAAATAGAACTTCTACATCAGAAAATGACAGTGCTTTTAAAGTACATGTGCGTTATATATACAGTGTACATACAGTATACAGTATGTTTGTTGCCCTGTACTTCAGGTGAACCATTGTGCTATTTAAGAAATGAAAGCACTCTTTGATATCTTTTCTGTCATGAGTTCATGTAGATTTTTTAAATGTTTATGTTCGAGCATAAAAATCTTCTGGATTTGATGAAGTGGAAGTGTAACACAAGAAAAGAATGAAATGACTTTCAACTGGATTGAAACTGCCCTCTTGACTGAGATTGGGACAGCATTAGTGAGTCTGTCAGCACTTCCCCAAAGAGAAGCATTATCCTTTTAGTGCCCTTCAGGCATTTCATGGTGATACAAAGCACTCATCATGTAGAAACAGGTAAAAACTCAACTGCATTTCCCCCTGTGTTTCCACACTCTCTCTAGGGATTATTTTCCAAATCTCCATTGATTTGGCCAGATGGCACTATCTCAATCTGCACTCACAATTAAGATTAAATTTACATCACACACATACAAATGATGTTCGACAGACGCTAGAGCGTCATACAGTGCACGTGCCTATACAGAGATTAGAGAAACTCTTAGATCTTTTGCTTATGAAACAAAATAGGACAGGATGCACTTTAAAAAATGCACTTAACAAAAAATACCCTTTGCTTATAAAGAAGAGATCAAATATAAAAAAATATCTAACAAGAATTACTGAAGATCCATTATATAAAAGGGACGTATTTTGGATGTGGCTTCATGCAAAACAAAACATATTTTCATTTTTTGTCATGGAAACATACCTTTGAGAGTCCAACATTTTTGAAAATGCAAGGTTTATCAAACGTTTATTGACAGTCTGTTGTGTAAGTGATCCTCCAATCCATTGTGCATGTACTGTACATGAACTTCTAGAAAGATAATTCTCCACTGCCCTGAGACTACCTGTAAGTATTACATGTGACTTCAGTGGTGATTCATACAGCTGAATAACCAGTGCTCAGGTCCAGTGGTATTATGTGTTCCTTATGTGACATCATTGTTGCCAAAAGGAAAGTGACAATTCAGCAGATGCTGAAAGAACTGCCCTGAACTTGCACTGCAGAATCAAGATATGTGAACCTACTAAAGGAAGCTATTTGTACATTAACATGTGATAAGTATGCATTTGCTTGGCATGAAAAGTATCATCCACAACCCAGCTGCAGTAACGAATTCAAAAAGACCACTTTTTTGCTTTGTCTAGTTATTTTTCTAGTATGTGCTTTTCAGTGTTTTTATTTGTCTGTAAGTCAAAACATTAAAGTCATTGCATTCCATTTCTAACATGAATCATGTTTATTATCTTGTATTTCAAATATTTTATATGAAAAGCACATATAATGTTACAGAAATACTTTGCATATATTAGTGAATTGGTTTTGGCAAGGGCAGTATTAAGGGCATGGATTGGTTAAAATGATCATCTCTCCTTTCTCCTACGACACTGATTTTGGCTGAATAAATCCTCCTTAGTCTGTGCAGTTGGCAAAATTAAAATGGTAGCTTAAGTTATTAAACTGAGCTGCTTTAATCATTGGCTACAGAAATTCAAGGTTGGAGGAGTGGTGAGGATTAAAGTATTTTTACCACAAAGCCAACATATCCATTCTGATCTGTGGGTCACAGTCCTGCTGTCGCATGCTTGCTCACTGATTCTTCTACAATCAAAACCAACGGCCTGATCTTTTTGTTCCCTGTACTTTGCCTCCACAGGATGTGAAGCCACAATGGGCTTTATGGAATTTTATCTCGAAATCGATCCAGTAACTCTTAACCTCATCATATTGGTTGCCAGCTATGTTATCTTGCTGCTCGTCTTCCTGATATCATGTGTGCTCTATGACTGTAGGGGCAAAGACCCCAGCAAGGAATATGCCCCAGAACCTACCCCAGCCACCCAGTCCCCCATCAGACTGGTAGTAATGCAGAGTTCTCCTGCCACGACCCGATGGGGTGAGAAGACAGTGACAACATATGAGGCTCCCACCGACCTCCGGGAAAAGAGAAGTACTTTGGTCTGAAGGAGGAAATTGCACCCTTTCATAACGGAAGAGCTCGTAATTCAGTTGGATAAACTGTTTGATTTTTGTTTTTGCTGTTTTTTTACTATGTTCAAGATTAACCTACACAAGACAAGGCTTAAAAGGTAAGCGAACTTCTAACAATGTGTGTATTTCATTTCTTGGGCACATATCCAAGTATGTGGATAGTATGACAATCTCTGGAATCTGTATTTTCAATATGCAGTGCATTAGTAACTCATAAGAGAAGGTTTGTGCTACTTTAAAGATATATCTAAATATTTCTTTCTTTAAAATGTTTTAAAATTGAGACTTGCTGTATATAGCACAGAGGGAAACCTATTACAATCTCATCAACTGCAATACAATAACCCTCACTCGAAATTCACAGATGTGTTTTCTGCACCTATCACTGACAATCTTCATCACAAACAATATCGCATTTTGCAACCTAAAATCTTTACTGTTTTTTTGTACACTGTTAAAGAGCTTAATCTACAGCATATCTCATCATTGATTCAATTACATACAGTACTGTATTTCTATTACATTAGAATAGATTTTTATACAGTTTTGATTAGATTTACACTCTTTATCAATTTATTGTATAGTGCAACATGTATCTGTCAAATTACTTTAAGAAACAATTACAACAATTCATGTTATAAGAAAAATTAAGAGTTTAAAATTCCTTTATCATTCACATACAGTTTGATCTATGTAAGGTTACAGAGAAAATTAAGGGCTGCCCTGATCAGCAGGTTGTCTGTTTCACTGCTCAAAAAAGATCCATTTTGTAGTTTGCCAGAAGGCTCTTCGCCCCTTATCGATGAGTTAAAAATAAAATTTGAGGATTGAAAATTGAAATATATACTATATATATATATGTGTGGCATCTCTATAGATAGTGAGTTTATAGTGATTTGTTTTCATATGGTGGTTTAAAATGTGTTTAAAGGGAGGAAATTACCTTAAAAACAGCATTAACTTCCTTTCACAAGCCACTACTGGGCCATACTCTATATGAAAACAAGACAGGACTACTTTCTAGATAACAGACAAAATTATACCTTATCAATTGCAAAAAAAATGGTTATTGGTCCTGTAGTAATTCCCAGTGGCTGGCCAGGACAGGTGAATGTAAAGAAAAATAAATGGAAGTACTGTATCTTCTGTGTCAAAAATGGACCAGTCATGAGATATGAGTGGCACATGATATTATGTTTTCACCACTCGACTCACAACTGTCCAGTCATAAATAACAAATATTTGGACAATTATTTGAATTTTACACATAGAAGTTAACTTCTTTTTGACCACTCGACTGACAACTGTCCAATCATAAATAACAAATATTTGGACAATTATTTGAATTTTACATATAGAAGTTAACTTCTATATAAAACATTTTTTTTAGAATGGTGTTTTTCCTTTTTCAAAGACAATGGTCTCTCCAAGCCAGTTTGCATTTACATTTAAACACAATGTGATGTGTACTAGATCTGAATAAAGGAAACAAAGTTCCCAATCCATAAAATTTGGCGGCATTCAAGTTTATATTTTGTGCAACTGACCTGGACACACTGACCCATCTTATCAGTAGCAGGGTTTTTTCACTTAAACAAATAAAGCTAGTAACTAAAGGACTGGAATTTTTGTTATACCAATAACAAATGAAAGAAAATATTCATGTAATTCAAAGTTTAGCATAAATAGTGTTAGTGTTAGGTTGCACAGACGGCTGCCTCTACAAATCATTCAAATAACTAGCTGAAAATAAAATAACTAGAACCATTCCTATGACAAAAATGTTACAGCTTAATATTCTATAGTACAGTACCATATTTGTTTTTGTAATTATAAAGATAATTCTTCTTCTTTAGCTCCTGCATTATTTTTATTTTTTCTTTAATTATGCAAACTAAACTTTAAAGAATGATTCAATTTTTCATTTTCTTTTCAATATGCTGAAATTTGCAAAAGAAAAATAATGTCTTATGCTTCAGAAACCACAGCAGTATGACAGACAGCATTTAGATAGATTTTGCCCTTGTAAAATGGAATTTGCAAAACTGGATTTTAAATACATGATATCAGGCAGAATTATTTAAAAAGTCTCAATTAGGTTACATGTTAAGCTTGTTTATCCTATTACATGTTTTAATTAAGGCACAAAATTGGCACAGTGCCATTACAGTACATTAAAGATGTGTTAAATATTCCGCCCAATAATTTCTGTTAGATGTAGTACAATCTTGTTTTCATAAAGAAATGGGTTTATTACTAATATTGACATAGAGAGAAACATTATGGTTTCCAGAACTCTTAATAATAGATGACAATTGAGTGGTAATGTAATTAATTATACCTGTAAACAATATTTAATCGTACATACATTTGAATATTATGGGAAATGTTTCTGGTCTTATGTGGCAAGGCACAGATCAGGTTATAACTACGATATTGTTAATATTCAACAGGACATATTTGATAAGCAAAATAACATGTCAAACAAGAAATATGGTGCAGTCCTAAGGTAGCAAAATAAAAGCGCCTGACCCGGGTTGTGACTGGTTATGACCCGAATTCTAGCACTTTGGATATACTATAAACTAAGAGCATTTATCATGTGGTTGTATGTATTGCTAAAAATAATTACCAAGGTCAATTTAATGACGCACACACTAAAAAATAGATTATGTTTCACAGAGAAATACTGTAGGTCATATTTAAAACAAGCAAATGACTTAGACAATGTTTTTGTTATACACACCAGTACTTTTGAAGACAGTGAGAATGAATTATTACTGCCTGATGTGCAAATAAGTAACAGAAAAAAAAGTTTCTTTTTAATTTGTTTGCCATTGGGCTTATGCTAATAAAGCTTCTACATTATATGGCAGATATTTTATTTATTACTGGGTAATTAAGCAGTCTGCTGTGATGCATAAATATTATGGACTTGACTGACTTGATTTGGATTCAAAATCACAACTCAAAAGTTTGGGGACTTAACCTAATATGTCATCTTGCAAATCTAATCTATATTTTTATTGCACTTGTTGCATTTTACAACACTTGCACAACTTGAAACCATAGGAAATCAGAAAAACCTTCAAGGAAATCATAGTCAAAGTGCAAGCATAATGTTTATCAAGTTAAACATTAATTACAGTGATACCTAATTTGTCATGTGGTACATTTAATGGCCTGCACACTTGTAAAACAAACACCAAAAAGAATGATGGAGTACTCAATAAAGTGCATCTATAATAAGAATAATGTAAAGAAGTATAAATTAAATGCAAAATCATGTGGGATTGTGCAAGTGACCAAGACCTTCAAGTTTATTGCATAAAACAAGCATTACAAGACAAACCTAAGGTTCACACAAAGGCTAAGGAGCATTTTTGCACAGAAACTTAGAATTTAACTGAAACATTTGACAGCTATTATTCCAATCGCCCCAGCCTACATGTACAGTATTTTGACCCTCATGTTCAGAATATTGTAAAAACATCATTCTTCCACCTTGAAATTGCCAAGTTGCATCCTATGTTGTCTTTGGCTGTTGCAGAAAAGATGGTCAACATAAATATTTGTTTTTTTTCTAGAATTGATTACTGCATTGCCCTACTGCAATGGGGTATCTAAATCCACACTGAACAAACAATTTTGAAGCATCCACAATTCCTGACCAGCTTGCATGCAAGCAATCACATTACTCCTGTCTTGGAGTCCTTGCACTGGCTTCCTATCAGGTTTCGAGTTGACTTCAAAATCCTCATGCTCACCTACTGTACACCTTGGTACCTGTCTGACTACTGCTATACAGTACTGGATGTCCCTATCTGAGAGTGACAGGGCCTTCACTGGCCATGTCCAAAGCTCTGGAATTCTATCCCTAAGGATATCAGTCAGTCATCTTCCCTGATTTAAGGGAACAAGTAAAGGTTTATTCCATGCTGAAAAGAGTGCTGTGTTTCCTTTCTTCTCTTTTCAGTATGGAATAAACCTTTACTTGTTCCTTTGAAGCCTACACATGCTGACGTAGCTACCTACTTGAACTACCTGATTGCCCTGATTTAAATCTAGACTCAAAAACTTTCTTTTCTGAAAGGCTTTTACTTAAAGTCTGTGTCTGCTCTATTTTCTAACTGCATTTTTATCCACTTGTCTTTCGTACATGTACTAATTTTGTAATTTGCTATTCTCATAAGTGTTTTTACACCTATTGTAAAGCACATTGAGACATTACTTTTAAAGGTGCTATGTATTATTATTATTATTATTATTATTATTATTATTATTATTATTATTATTATTATTGCATGTATGCACTTTAGTGACAAAGATTGACTGTACTTTAGATGTATTATGTCAACAAGTCCAGAGGGAAAACAACCTTAGATTCAAAAAGGAGGGAATACTATAATCAACTTGAGTGTAAGAACTGGGTTCATTAGAACTAGGTACAGTATAAGGAAAGCACTTTTATGATCCAGACAGAAACAGCATTTACCCTAGTGAATTTGCTTGGTATTTTTTCCACGTTTTTCCATTATTCTTTCTATTACTTTGCCTTTCTGATTGTCAGAATTGTCATTGTCAATACTCCTTTTGTGCTTTTCCATGATTTAACCATGCCTAGCTACAGTACATTTTGCTCTGCTTTAACCAATGATATACCAGAATAAGTATTTGTACTTGGGAACCACACATTGTCTATTATAGTTAATGGTACTACCCTTAATCTAATTATTTTAGAGACACAAATTATGACTCTCTTGTGGACTTTTAGTAAGACTGATTAAAAATTATTTTAAAATAAAATAAGGAATGATTTTAAACTATTAGCATTTATAATGTCACAATTATTTGATTAACTTAAGTTGTGGCCATAGTTGTTATGTTTTACTGTACATGGTATACATCATATTAAGTGGTGGCTTTTATGCATTTTTTTACATTGTGCAACTAAAAAAGAATAATTTTCTTGTGCCAAGCAAGGGATTGTCTTGACTTTATATGAAAATTCCCAGTACTAAGTATATTCAAAATACTAATTCCCAGCATAAACCTGTTATCAGCTCAGAATAGAACAAATATAGATAGTACTGTATGT